ATATTATATATATATATATCTATATATATATATTATATATATATATATATATATTATATTATTAAGTTAATATAAGTACCCCCACCCCCCCCCCCCAATATGTATATATTATTATATGTACATATATATTATTTATGTATATATATTGTAATGGATATATATATAATATATACATATATATATTATATATATATATGTATATATATATATATATTATATATATTATATATATTATATATAAGTTATATATATAGTATATATAAAGTATATATGTTATTATATAATATGTATTATATATCTGTATATATATTGTCTGTATATATATATACATATATATATATATATATATATATATATATATATATATATATATATATATATATAATTATATATATATATATATATATATATATATATATATATATATATATGTATATATATATATATATATATATATATATATATATATATATATATATTCACAATATAATACACACACACACCTGGAATCCGTCAGACAGGCAATGGAAACACGACCCCACCGCCCCACCTCCCCCCCACCCCTGCCTCCCCCCCGCCCACCCCACCTCTCCCCTACGACGGGCCGGAGGGGCGAGCGGAAGGGCGAGGGACAAACAAGGGGAAAGAATAATTCGAAAGGCGGGCAGAAGAGGGCGTGGCTGGATAAAAGGGGGAATAAGCAAAAAGTGAAATAACTGACAGGAGAAGAGGCAACTGGCGAGAAAAAGAAAAGGGGAGAGGTGGAGGCGGAGAAAACAAGAGTAAAAGAAGATTAAGAATGTCAGGAAATAAAAAAAGGAAAGAAGGAAAGACACGATGAGAAACACAAATAAAAAGAGCGACACAGAAGAGAAAGAGATAAAATCGAAATCAAAGGAAAGATTTTAAGACGAAGATAAAAAAGGTCCCAAGAAATACAGAAAGGCGAGACAAAGACGTTACAACGAAGATAAAAAGGACCCAAGAAATAGAGAAAAGAGAAAATAAAGCGAGATAAACAGTACAGAAAAGGCGAGCAGAGGCGAGAGAGAACCGCAAGCGCCTCCAGACGAAGGGCGGCGACGGCGGCGCGGGCGAAGGGAAGCGAAGGAGTCCCCGAAAGGAGGATCAGCGGGGGTGGGGGGGTGGGGGTGGGGGGTCTCGCCTGGCCCTGACAGCTCGCGAGCGACTCCTGCGCCGCCGAGGATTTGGTCTTTGCCCTAGGCTTGGGCAGACTGGGTGTATATATAGTCCATCTAAATCTACATTTACCTATCTATAATTCTTTGAGTGAGAGAAAAAAAAAATTATATATATTACACATCATATATAATATATGATATAAAATATAAATATATATATACATATACGCACTCACTCACTCACTCACTCTCTCTCTCTCTCTCTCTCCCCTCCCTGTTTCTCTCACCTGTCATCCGGCCTTTTCTTCCCACCACGCCGTTTCCTCTTCTTTCTCCTCCTCCTCCTCCTCCTCCTCCTCTTATTATTATTATTATTATTATTATTATTATTATTATTATTATTATTATTATTATTATTATTATTATTATTATTATTATTATTATTATTATTATTATTATTATTCTCCTTCCCTTCTCCTCTTCTCCTCCTCCTCCTCTTTTCCTCCTCTTCTTCTCCTCCTCCTCTTCTCCTCCTCCTCCTCTTCTCCTCCTCTTCTCCTCTTCCTCCTCTCCTTCTTCCTCCATCTAATCGAAGTTACGTAAGATAAAAAAGAACAAAGTAAAATAAATAATAATAAAAATGATAAACTAAAAGACCAAAAATAAAATAAGATAAGACATAAGGAAAGAAATAAGAAGGGAATAAGAAGGAAAATAAGATTAAAAAGCACAGGATACCGAAACCGGCGCCCAAGTGTCTCCCTCCTGACGGCGCTCCGAGCATCGCCAACCGAATCCCAAATGCGATATAGAATTCATTTCATTTACAATAACACCAACGGCTACTTTTCCATCTTGCTATCTCCCACCCACCCCCTCCCCCCTTCTCCCTCAAGTTCAATCAGCGAATCAAACAAAAAAAACAAGCAAGACCAAAAATCCAATATATTTGTGCAACTTTATGCAATGCAAATACAACGTCTGGATGAGATTGCAAAGCGTCCCTTATGCCTCTTTGATTTGCTCTTGCAATGAGGAGGCGCAATCAAGATGGGCTTGCTGTTGGTTGCAATGATGACAAAAAAAATAATATCATGAGAGAGAAAGAGAGAGAGAGAATGACAGAGAGAGAGAGAGAGAATGAGAGAGAGAGAGAAGAGAGAGAGAGAGAATGACAGAGAGAGAGAGAGAATGAGAGAGAGAGAGAATGAGAGAGAGAGAGAATGAGAGAGAGAGAGAATGAGAGAGAGAGAGAAGAGAGAGAGAGAAGAGAGAGAGAGAATGAGAGAGAGAGAGAGAATGAGAGAGAGAGAGAATGACAGAGAGAGAGAGAGAATGAGAGAGAGAGAGAATGAGAG